TATATTCATGGTCTGTGTTAACTTATATCACTTGTTTGAGATGCTCTATTCATCACACACCTCCTCTGTCTATATTCATGGTCTGGGTTAATTTATAGCAAATGTTTGAAATGGTATTTTCATCACACACCTCCTCTGTCTATATTCATGGTCTGTGTTAAATTATAGCATTTGTTTGAGATGCTCTGTTCATCACACACATCCTCTGTCTATATTCATAGTCTGTGTTAATTTATAGCATTTGTTTGAGATGCTCTGTTCATCACACACCTCCTCTGTCTATATTCATAGTCTGTGTTAATTTATAGCATTTGTTTGAGATGCTCTGTTCATCACACACCTCCTCTGTCTATATTCATAGTCTGTGTTAATTTATAGCATTTGTTTGAGATGCTCTGTTCATCACACACCTCCTCTGTCTATATTCATAGTCTGTGTTAATTTATAGCATTTGTTTGAGATGCTCTGTTCATCACACACCTCCTCTGTCTATATTCATAGTCTGTGTTACCTTTTATCATTTGTTTGAGATCTGTGTTATCATGTTAATTTGTATAACTTGTTTGAAATGACCCAAAAGATAAACTGTATTTGTACATCCAGAAGTACAAGACTGTACTCGCCGGTTCAGCTTCCTCGTTTCTTTTTTCAAGTTCAAGGTTCGAAAATTCAGATATCTAAACTTGCTAAAAGTTTTCTAAAAACTTTTCCAACGATGCAATACACCGGATACGTCAGTAAGACTATGTCATTCATAAAAATATCAATTTACTCTCGTATTTGTTTTTAACTATTTTCGATACCTCATTTCGTACATATTTCTTCGCGTTGAAAGTAATATGACAAACGAAATATCATTTTTCGATAAGGTGATTATTTGATGTCAAACATTCCTCCAGAAACAATTAAGTCGAGACGTTGGAAAAGCGAGCTCAATATTATATGTGATTGAAGAAAATTGAAATTTGGGGAAGACTTTCCCATTTCGAAAAATGTCCAGAAACATTGAAAGATTTGATGGAACAATTTCCACCGTAACAATCCTAATAAAATAACTGGCAAAAAAACGCCACCAAACCATTTTCTGGTCTAAAACAAAGCAAACGCAAAATAAACGGTTGATGTTTTATTATTAAAAAAAACAATTATGCCAAAACGGTATTTGAAGATGACAATTTTTGATAAAAAACAATGTACTTAAAGTTCTGCAGACACGTTTATCATGTATTCGATCACACACGCAGAACCGACGTTGATCTCTTTTAAAGTTCCGTGCTGCATGCATGGCCCTAACACGACGTCGAACTGAATACACGAGTCTCCTGACATCCTGATTAGGGATCTTACACCACTCTTCCTGCAGGGGAATTGCCAAGGCATCCCTCGTCAGTGGCGGCTGTTGACGTTTCCAAAACTTGCGTCCAAGTTGGTCCAAGAGGTGTTCTTTGGGCGACAGGTCCGGAGATCTGCCTGGCCACTGTAATAAGGTCACGTTGTTGGCGTTCAGAAATACGCTAGTGACTCGAGCTGTGTGAGGGGTGGCGTTATCCTGCTGAATTCGAAACAGCGTTTGTGGGTGTCGTTGCAGGAAAGGCAGTACCACAAGCCGCAAAACCTCATCAATGTAACGACGTGCAGTGAGATTTCCGACGATGATAACCAGATCTGTCTTCTGGTCCACGCAGATGCCACCCCAGACCATGACATTACCACCTCCATAAGGCTCCACTTCTTGAAAGAGACAACGTGCCGTCCGTTCACCACGTCGTCGGTAGATTCGCACCCGCCCATCAGACTTGAAGAGATGGTCTTCGCCAATTTCTTTGCTGCCACTGCTGTACAGTCCTGGCCCATCTCAGTCTGTGACGTCGGTGTAGAAACGTTACTGTCGTGCCCTTGAAAGGTCGATCGGCAAGGAGACCATACAGGCGGAGTCATTTAGCAACGGTCCCTCTGCTGACTGGATGTTCAAGGCTGTTTGCGGATGATGACGTCACCGTTATGAATCTGGACATTCGGTGAAGCACCCGCAAGTACCGGTCTTCCTGTGGTGTCGTGACCTTGGGTCATCCACTCCTCGCCAATTCTGCAGTACTGCCTGTTTGCTTGCGACGTGTGACAAGTCTAGCGATGGTGCACTTGAAGCAGTCCATTATATTGGCAACGTACTCCTGCGTTGCTCCTATTTGCAACATACCGATGGCTCTCTCCCTCTTCTCTGCGGTTTTATTAGTCGAGGCATGTTCGTTGTTTTAAACGGTTTCATGTGATGAGAGAGTACAATCCTGCTAATGTTTTATACCATACGGGCAACTTTGTCCACATTTTGCATTTTTTAGTGATTAGAATCACTTTTCTCGCACATAACGTAAAGCACGTGCGCATGTTCACGGGGAATAGGTAAGTTGCATTCCAGCTATGTGTTCCCAACTGTTTTCGTGCTGTTTGGCAAATTTGTTGAAAACAGACGACCATTATTTATTTGGTGGCGTTTCTTTTGCCCGCTAGTTTATAAGAAACGTGAGTATTCAACAAACAATTTTGAAATCTATTGTCATCGTTACAGACATCTGCTTTGACAGCTATTACTAACACGCTGTCTGTCACCAGAAAAGCAACAGAGTACCACGGTGTTAGTCCACAATCTGATGTTTACAGCCCTAAATGAACATCAGAGAGCTGGTTTGCCTATATAGACCTTTATCTTCTTACTTTCCATTTCAGAGGCAAATATTTTGTGTATTTTCCAAATGATAAAAGCGGCAAAACCCTCCCCATTATGCTGACAACCAAAACATATTTTAGTTCACTGTAAGATTCAGACTACATCATAAGCGGATACTGATGAATAACCATCAATAAGAGATGATACCAGATTGTTTGCCAAAAGGTGAGCGTATCCTGCCCCAACGGAGGCATTCGTCATAAACACATGCAAAGGCAAGTCAGTTGTGTTAAGCTGAAAAAACACGTAACATAAGACGCAAGTCAAAATAGTGAGTTGCATCGGACATGAAGAAATCAAAGTACAAATCTTATGGTACAGTAGTGATATTTATTGATAATGTGGGGGGTTGCAGGTCTCGCGTTTTTTGTCAGCAAGAGAAATGTTTCGGTCACTGCTTCAAAACATACGATTCTTTTCTCTGAATTTTTGTTTTGTTTCCAATAATTTCTGACCACCGAATCTATCAAATAGTAGATCCTTTAGACGTTTTGTCTTAGGGGAATTCCAGGGAGGGACTCCTGCACAGACCATGTACCAAGAACAGCTTATGTTTGTGGTAAGAATTGACTAAACTTAGGGTTAGATAGTTACAATGTCACCAGGGTCTTCAAACACAGACACCATGGAGACATAATCATCTGAACGCACCAAACAGAAAACGTCCGTAAAGCTGGGTTTTCGGATTAAAGGGGTCCAGACTATCGGAGGTCCATTGTACCTCTCTTTTTAATGAACACTTAAAAAGGCCAGCATCAGGACCACCTCGCCCAATTTACTATTTACAGTGAAGCCTGGTTAATCCGGACAGAAGTGTTTCCACTAAGGTCGTTCTGGTTAACAATTATCCGAATTAACGAATCGTTGCTGCAGAAAAATGTCACTTTGCGTAAATGTAAACTTTCCCGTCATTAACTGCCCTGAATGTGAGGTTTCTGGGTTAACCAGACCACAAAGTAAATAAAGAGCGAGAAGCAGGTCCAAAAACAATAATGAATTGGTGTCCGGAAAATCCGAAGTGATGCAGCTGTTAGAAGATGAAACGCACGAGCATTTGTATGATGCTGACCAAGAAGCCAAGAAACATTTCGGTGAATCAGATTCTAACCCACGATGAAATGATTCTGGGACGGATTGCGGCACTCTAGAAATTAAACGACTGAGCCACACTTACTAGAAAGTCATGATGACCCAGAGGTAAAGCTTTGCATCGAGACGTCTTCATGAGCATATCGAATCATTTCATTATCGAATCTTTCACACATTACGCCAATCACACATTACCCCCTTGACAACATATCCCATTTGTTAACGCTTTGTTTGCCGTCCATGAATTTCATAGAGACGATGGAATAAGAAGGCCTCTGTCTAAAGGTCGTTTTTTTTATTGTTTAACGCCGCACTCAGCAATATTCCAGCTATATGACGGCGGTCTGTAAATAATCGAGTCTGGACCAGACAATCCAGTGATTGACATCATGAGCATCGATCTATGAGCTTGGAGACGATGACATGCATCAACCAAATCAGCGAGCCTGACCACTCGACCCCGCTAGTCGCCCCATACGTTATAAAATCAATGTAAAATTTGAAATGAAACCCTATTGGTTATCCATACTTTTATTGACTTCACTTCCCGTTAATTGTCAACTTCCATGTTTAGCACATACACATTTATACATGTAAATATGGTTGATAGCTTCTATAACAATGGACAGCTTCCGTGGTCTAGTGGATAGAGCGTCTGCCCGGAGAGCGGTGGTTCGATCCCATTGCAGCGTCGTTACCCTACCAGGAGCTAGGCTTTAAGGTGATAAACAAGGTCTGGTCGGCCTGGAGTTAGTATATTGGATCTGAGATGGTAATCCATGTTAAACTGCGGCATGGTATCTCAGTGGGCTAGCACCATGTAACCGGCAAAAGTCCGAGCTAGTACAAGCAGCCACTCAAACAAGTCCATTAACGTCGCTATATAAGTACAATAATCTCGAACGCAACGTTAAACTCCATTTCACCTCACACGTTAATAATGAACTATTGTTGCAGTAAACACGTGGAAGCATAAAGTCACGTACATATAAGATATATTTCTAATTGAAATAAACATTACCAAAAGAACTGAAGTAAATAAAAGAAATGCATGGAATTTATATAATAATTTACGTCAAACAACACCACTGTGGATCTGTAGATATTACGGTACGCTTAAACTGGTACCATAAGAAAATCCTTATTGATACATTATCTGTACAATTTTCCATAAGATTGCACTTACCATTTATCTTGGCTGTTGTTGAGTGAGCAGGTACTTAGGTATTCAGGTACTCCCAACCATGTATGTGAAGATAACTGGCAACTTATTAACTCCAGGAGTGGACGCACCGTCATATATTACAAGTTCCCATGTCGCAGAACGGAATGGCCAAGCCTTGTCTGAAACAAATAATGCGTCATGATGATAGACCTGGTTGTGGTTGCACAGTAAACTCAGGTATAAAGTTATTAAGATTTCTGGCCATCAATATTTTCCATATCAAAGGTGCATGTAGAATTTAATCTGACTTTGCGTAAAGGGAGATAACTCCGCGTGTCATATTTGTTAAGTATCACCAGAGTTGTCCCCCTTGGTAAACAAGCCAGCAGACGGCAAACAAAACCACTCTGGATATGGCAGCTATAAAAAAAAAAAAAGATTTCTTAACTGTACCATGAAGAAATCAGATAAGGACAGGTTATTGCAAAGAGAACAGACATTCCACTATCAACCGTTGATCGTGTTTTGAGTGGAGATGGAATTGAGCACAAAAAAGGAGAGGTAGGCCAAAGACTGTTGGTGACAGAAGTCGACTTGGTATATTGGCGTCTAAAAACGGACACATGGGCATAGAAAGTATTAGGCACGAAATTATTCATAGCGGAACACTTATGTTTCTAAAGAGACAATACGAATACATTTGCATGCAATTGATTTGCCGAAATCACGAGGAATTCCATCACCCCTCCTAAAACTTAAACAGAACGATGTTTGAACTGGTGATTGGAGCAAAGAAATTTCAGTTGGCACAATGTTATTTAAGAAATCAACGATGAGTGGGTGTGTTTATCGTACAGGGAGAATAAACCATCTCTTATATAACAAATCAACATTATGTACGTACAGCCTCATCTGACAAAGGATCTTAGTAAAAAGTACACACTTGAAAAATATTTACCCTTATTTAAATAATGATGACTCCCTGAATAGAATCCGAGCGCGGCAATGTCGGACAAGTCCAATTTATGAACACGGGGGTTCAATTTGGTCTTTCCCACATATTTTCACCATTTTCACGTCGATTTTCTGTACCTTTTCTCCCAATACCGATTGTTATATCTCTCTAACTTTTGAGTGCGATCGTTCGGCCATTGCATTCATCGGCGCTGTCCAGCTATATCTATGGGGAACAACACTTCTCTCTCAAAAATAACGTCGTCCATTTTACGACGTCATCAAGTTGCGAGCGCAACCAGAAATCACCAGAAATGACGTTATGATAGAACAATGTCTTATCGTGAAATAAACCGTTCAACATTATTCCTTGAGATTTAGCGCGTAGCTATATATTCTCATATGAGTCCAGTGTGGCTATATCCAAACGGCATAAAAATGTGGACCAAAGGTACCGAAAATCCAGGTAACCAGCGTCCAAAGTACAGTCCTAAATTTCATGTATGGGGCGGGGTGTCTGCGTTGGGTGCCACCTCATTATGTATATTTGAAGGTAACATGACAAGTGCAGTGTACACTAATATTCTACAGGGACATTCTTCGACCCTGAACCTTCTTCATTAAGGACAATATCAGTCAAAACAATCTAAAAAATATGGGATATGAAACCAGAGGTGGTGAGATATTTGGACAGATCTAGAGTGACTCATTATTTCCTTGATAGGCAACATGCCTCGCCAGATTGAAACATGAGGTGGACTGACTAAATATTGAACAATTTGGTGTTTTATGGCTTTAGGTAAGCAGTGTTTGTTGAACAAACTGATTTCTTGGTTCTAGGACTTAATAAATCTAGAATTTACAATGTTGTTATTTTCAATAATTTTGGGTCAAACTATAGAAAACTTCCGGGCGATTAATGTCTGTACACCTATTTTTGCATTTTCTGCATGTAAATTGCAAAACATCCTCTGGTACCTTATTGGAAATAAAGATCTGATATTCAAGACTCCATGGTCGATAAATAATATTCTTACAAATGATCTCATTCTCTCCGTTATGGCATAAGTCTAATGACAGTCTTGATGACCTCTCTGTCTATGTAACTACTACGACAATGTTGCATTTCCACATCTCCAGGTTACCTAAACAAATTCCATAACCTTCAACATCCGACTGATTGATTTGTTGAGATCATTACCAATCTGTCGCACCGAGTCCCCGACCTAAACATGCCTATTGCATGCTAATGTTTGTTACTGTCATGTCATGTATGGCCATGCTGACTACGTTACAGATTAACACTTTCCTATTCTTCTCGGACTTGCATGGTGATTGCATGGTGACAAAGCATGCCGGAAATCTCCGCCAAGAAGTTGTATTATCATTGAATAAAACACCGTTTCTAATTACTCATCATGCGATGGATTAAAGTGGTTTCGGGTCGAAGGCAGTCATCAAAACAATAGGATACAATTTGGCAAAATGTAGACAGTCGTCATGAAAATAATGTCATGTATACAGGACACAAAGGCATAATAACTACACCGTTCCCTGATCTGCTTTCTAAGGTGTCACTTATGTAATAATTAATAACTTGCACCAATGTATACGGGATTATAACCCCAATACCGAAAGTGAAAATAATTAATATTTTCTTATTCGATGCACTTAGTTTGGCATCAAATATCTGAAGAATGAATGACAGTGTAATTAATACACCTGACCACCACTCGTCGTGGGGCTTTTGTCTTGAACTAAAAATAATCTGAGATTGATGTCTCGTTGTAATACTTAAAAATATTTCCCAATAGGACAGCTAAACACGTTATTCTTCAGCGGTAATGGGTATACAATAACAGACATTACTGATGTCAGACGATGATACGACCTTCTAGTTGACCTCCTCCGAGTTCGTACAAACTTAGTCATAATCAAGGGGGGAAAGTCATTTTGTTCTTTCCAGATCGATTTCTTTCATTAATCTTATTGATGTATTTTTTATTTCGTTTTGCAGACTCATATCCAAAACGAAATTCTGATTTATTGTCAAAACATGAAAGAAACTGTTTTGTGTGAAAGAGAAGCGCCCACTTCAGCATGTGAAGCTCTAGCAACGTCGTCATCCTCGACGTTTTATCAGACAACACTGTTTGGAGAAGAGTATCAGAGTGAAATATCATCACGGAAATCATTACTGTTAAATTTATGGTTATAAACAGTTCATTTGGCATTTAAATCACAGGCTTCTCGCACAAAGAAAAGGACGCCTTCAGTGGCTTATAATACAAACTACAGGCCTTCATTATCAAGACACTCCAGACCATCAAGTGTGCCCTCATGAGAATGACGACTGGTCGAAGAGACCTCTTTACGAACGAGAATTATGATAGGCATTCTTATGAATTTACTAAATATGACACGTCGCTTGTCAACATGATGCGCTATCAAATGACACGGCCATTCCTTGGAGTGTTCATACCGCCTTACTTTTGCAATGGAAACATGTCATGCCATTTTTAAACATTGTTTTTTTACATTTGGTATATAAGTTCTTAGTAAGTTGTGACGGTGCCTAGGTTCCGATTCATCACAAGCGGAATCCCCTCATATACTGTGGAAGGACATTGTTTATCAGTATGTAAGTAAGGTAAAAAACATTGAGATGTGAATAAATAAAGCGACAAAACATTTTCCATATCCAATAGACATATCTGCATAAAGCAGAGTCGATTTTACGATTCCGACTACATCATATGCATGTGTTTATGAATCACTATAAAAAAAATGATGACACCAGGTGTTCGCGAAAAGGTGAACGTATCCTGCCCCCACGGTGGCACCCGCTACAAACACAGGCAAAGGCAAGTCAATTAATCACCTGAAAAAGCACAGGAACATATGGTACAAGTCAAAATAGGGAATTGCATCGGACATCATTTTTGTCACTGATGCGTCCTCTACATGTCTACCGTAAAGCTTTTTAAAGGCTTTACTGAGGCCTTGAATGTTGTAACCCTGATCAAACAACTTCTAAGCAAGAGTCGTATGACGCTCATTGAAATCTTGGTTGAAAGAACATGCTCGATTGTATCTTAACAGTTGTGAAATGTAAACACCAAAGGCTGGAGCTGCTAGGAAACAGATAATGAATTGAAACCAATATTTTTCATACTAGTTTGAACATGCCTAGCTGATTAAATATTTTGAAGGTATTATTATACTTTAAATGTAATTTGACAAACAAAGACTTTGCCGCCGTGTTGATGCATCGCATCAAAACCTTTCTTGTTCTCTGGCGTTGACGTTGTGAATTGTTACAAGTTAATGTGAACTCCCCAGTAAGCGGATAGAACATTGATTGCTGTATAATTACTGTTTCACGTAAATAAAGTTATTGATACTCTTCCTTGTTGTATCAAATATAATTAAAGATCTGAGAAAAACATCTTCTGTTGTCCCCTCTTGGGCGTATTATTTCATGAATCATGACAATTTGAAACGTTATGTATCCGTTGTCAGGAGTTGATAGATTGTGTGTCCGTAATTAACGTTGGTAAATACCACCGAAGCTTGAACAAAATGGCTTAATTCCTTCAATCCCGTCAGTCGGTTCCCAGTTAATTCCCGTGTATGTGATAGGCGTTGACTGCACATATCTGTCACAGCCAGATCCTGATCACATTGGACAGACTCGTCTTGACGACATCCCACAATCTAACCTAATTGTTAATGAAGAACAATCCCAGAAATAAGCTATTTCTTTGGATCCGACACATCAAAATTGATTATGACGTTAATGCAGAATCGCGAAAGATGTCCAGATAACCCCTTTAATCTGGAATCCCCACTTTCGATGCCTAGCGTCGTATAAACAAACAGCAAGAGGAATATATCATAAATTATAAATTTGGGGCTGAGACTGCACGAAATGGTTGATTTATTGGCATTTGCTGCCTGGGAACATGAACATGCAGAGGGCGATATTAATACTTTATTCAGATGTCAGCATATAGTAGTAGTAGTAGTAGTAGTAGTAGTAGTAGTAGTAGTAGGAGTAGTAGTAGTAGTAGTAGTAGTAGTAGTAGTAGTGTGAGTGAGTGAGTGAGTTGGGTTTAACGCCGCTTTTAACATTCCGGTTATATCACGGCGTGTCAGCTTAATGCGGGACGAAAGCCCGAAGTGATGCAGGTCCCAGACGTCTGCATCACTTCGGGCTTTCCTG